GTTGGCCCCCCTTTCCCTCCATGGCCATCAAAATGCGATTGGTTCCACCTTCCCTCCATGGCCATCAATATGGAGTTGGTCCCCCTTCCCTCCATGGCCATTAACATGGAGTTGGTCCACCTTCCCTCCATGGCCATCAATATGGAGTTGGTCCACCTTCCCTCCATGGCCATCAATATGGAGTTGGTCCCCCTTCCCTCCATGTCCATCAATATGGAGTTGGACCACCTTCCCTCCATACCCATCAATATGGAGTTGTTTCCCCTTCCCTCCATGGCCATCAATATGGAGTTGTTTCCCCTTCCCTCCATGGCCATCAATATGGAGTTGGTCCCCCTTCCCTCCATGGCCATCAATATGGAGTTGGTCCCCCTTCCCTCCATGGCCATCAATATGGAGTTGGTCCCCCTTCCCTCCATGGCCATCAATATGGAGTTGGTCCCCCTTCCCTCCATGGCCATCAATGTGGAGTTGGTCCCCCTTTGTGGCTATAACACCCCCCATTCTCCTGGGAAAGCTTCCACAAGATTTTGGAGGGTGTCAGTGGGAATTTGTCCCATGTGGGAGGTCAGATGAGAAGACCGGGCTCATAATCAGTGTTCAGTAGATCACCTTTGGGATGAAATTGGAATGTCTATCTCTAGCTCGGTCTCCTGGTCCTGAGGTTCCCAGAAAAGAGAGCAGCAGAGGACAGATCTCCTGCCTACCAGTCTTCCTCTGCTCTCTCCTCAGGGAACCCCGGGGGAGGAGAAGACCGGGCTACCATAACATCCCAGAGGTGATCAGTAGGGATGAGGTCAGGGCTCTGTGAGGGACACTCAAGTTCCTCCACCACACTGGTCCCCCCCATGTCTGTATGGAGCTGGCTTTGTACACAGGTGACAGTCATGGGGGGGAACAGAAAAGGGTCTTCACCAAACTGTGACCACACGGCCGGAAGAGGACAATCGTCTACAATGTCTTTGTATGATGGAGTGTTATCAGAACCTTCACCGGGGACACCTGAGCTCAATGATTCGGAGGAGGGGGAGGGGGGTTGGAGGGGGGGGGATCCACATATTTGATATTCTCCGGGTTGGCTGACATCACAATGTATCAATAAGAAGATAATAAACGGAACACGGGGAGCAATGGGGCTTCCGGGGAACGGCACTCACGTTGGTGATGATCTGCGGCAGTCTAGAGATGAGGTAGAACATGGAGGACACGGAACCGATTGCACATCCGATGATCTCCTGGGTGGTGAACGGCTGGAAGACACAAACCGACTCGGAGGTCATTACTGATCACATGAGGAACACGGCAAAGTCAATCTACAGGTTTGTTTCTCATCTTGGATGGAGTGTGGATGGATTAGACCCCCCCCCCCGCTGCATTCAAGGTGGAGAGGTTGTCAGGGCGCTTCTGCAGCCTCTTGTTATAGGTTTCTCTACTGTGCAACCTCCCCCCTCATTCTCCAATGCCTGTGGGCAGGGCAACAGTGACCTAAGAGAAAGGGGCGGGGCTGAAACTGAGGCACACGCTGTCTGTAATGTGCAACCTCCCCCTCATTCTCCAGTGCCCGTGGGCAGGGCTACAGTGACCTAAGAGAAAGGGGCGGGGCTGAAACTGAGGCACACGCTGTCTGTAATGTGCAACCTCCCCCTCATTCTCCAGTGCCTGTGGGCAGGGCTACAGTGACCTAAGAGAAAGGGGCTGAAACTGAGGCACACGCTGTCTGTAATGTGCAACCTCCCCCTCATTCTCCAGTGCCTGTGGGCAGGGCTACATTGACCTAAGAGAAAGGGGCTGAAACTGAGGCACACGCTGTCTGTAATGTGCAACCTCCCCCTCATTCTCCAGTGCCTGTGGGCAGGGCTACAGTGACCTAAGAGAAAGAGGCGGGGCTGAAACTGAGGCACACGCTGTCTGTAGATTTAAAGGCACAGACTCAATCTAGTGCTACGGACAGCTATGGGGATTTCGCCGTCAGGTGCCGGTAAAATCGAAAGCCGCTCGGCGGGAAATCGGCGTCCTCGGCCGAAACGTATTCGATGTTTTGACGCGTTTGTACAAAGTAACAGAATACATTTTTGATCTCCGGAAGTTTACACACCTCGGAATCAGAGCTGTCCTCCGCGAGCAAACGTCGTCCGCCGGGCGGGCTCCGGTAGTCCGA